CATGCTACCCTGGAGTGTGGTCCTCAGACCCACAGCACTTAGAAACAGATTCAGCTGGGCACAGTGATTCATGCCTGTAATTTCAGCACTTTGAAGGGCAGAGGCGGGAGAATCACTTGAGGCCAGGAGTTCAAGACCAGTTTGGGCAACATAACAAGGCCTCGTCTCTACAAAAAATAAAAGAATTAGCCAGATGTGGTGGTCCATTCCCATAATCCCAGTTGCTCAGGAGGCTAAGGCAGAAAGATTGCAATAAAAATAAAAATAATTATCTGCGTGTGGTGGTGCACATCTATAGTCCCAGCTACTTGGGAGACTGAGGCAGGAAGATGACTTGAGCCCAGGAGGTCGAGGATAGAGTGAGCTATGATCACACCACCGCACTCTAGCCTGGCTGACAAAGCGAGACCCTCTGACAAAAATATATACATATAAAATATAAAATAAAATTCAATAGCTGGGTGTAGCGGCACACACCTGTAGTCCCAGTTACTGAGGAGGCTGATGCAGGAGAATCATTTGAGCACAGAAATGAGAGGCTGCAATGAGCCATGATCATACCACTGCAATCCAGCCTGGGCAATAGAGCAAGACCCTGACTCAGAAAAAAGAAAAGCCTCATCACCTATCTCACAAAGTTTGCATTATATTATAATAAAAATCCCAGGTAATTGAAACACCGTGGGGAGGGGTGGAATCATAAAACCCTACAGGCACAAGGCATTACTCATCACACAGGTGCAATCCTGAGCATAGCAGAGGGCCCCCTGCTTCCCCTCTTTGGGGTCTATTTCAGTTGATTGGCTGGGAATGCTGTAAAAGTACAAACTTTGAGAATCGAGGGAGGTACTGTTAATTGAAAGACAGTCCTCTTAATGAGCTTAATTCTTACCACCTGTCCTCAATTCTAAGCTTATAAAAGCATAGGCAAGTCGTTTGCTATTTTAGTCACTTTTATAATTGAACTTCATGCAAAATCATCTCATTGCCTCATAAGAAATGAACTGGTCATTCACTGCAGCCACTCGAAGGATCAGATCCTGCAGAAATTCAAAAGATCTGTCCATTTTTTTAAATTTTGAAAGCAGGATTTATTGAGGGGACAGAAAAGCTCCCTCAGTGGGAGGGGACCTGAAGGGGTTGCCCCCATTTTAAAATTTAAAATGACAAGGGTCATTCAGCTTTCAAGTGACTCTTGTAAAGTGTCTGTTGCTTTTATCGTTATGAGCCAGGTAAAGGGTTAAAAGAGGATAGGGAATGTCCCCTAAAGACTCTGATGTGATGTTCTGGGCTTGGTATTTGCATGTTTAATAAGACTGGTGACTTTGACAGTCTAGTGAGTTTGGGAAGAATTACTCTAGATCCTAGCTCCTGTTCTCAAAACTGCCTTTCCACTAAAGCCATCTGGAGAGTTTTTTTTTTAAGTACTGACATTGGGGTTCTGCTTCAGATGCTGACTGTGTTGGTCTAGAGTGAGGCCCAGGACTACTTGCTGTTAATAGCTGCCTGTGTGACTCTAAGTGCAGCCAGTGTTAGGAACCCTGCTGCCTAATGACAGGCCCTGACAGGACTTCAGGAGAGCTAGCTAGCCAGAGTCTTCCCCTTTTATAGACTGAATTGTGTCCCCCCAAAATCATATGGTGAAGTCCTAACCCCCAGTACTTCAGAATGCGACTGTATTTAGAGATAAGGTCTCAAAGTAGGCGATTAAGTTAAAATGAGGCTGCTAGGAAGGATCATAATCCAATCTGAATGGTGTCCTTACAAGATGAGGAAATTTGAGCACAAAGGAGCACCAGGGACCTGTGTGCACAGAGGAAAGATCATGTGAGGACATTTGAGGAAATGAGCAAGAAAGTGGCCAAAGAGAGGCCTCAGAATGAAAGCAACCCTGCGGACACGTTGACCTTGGACTTCTGGCCTCCAAAACAGTAAGAAAGCATGTTTCTGTTGTTAAAGCCACCTTGTCTATGGAATTTTGCTATGACAGCCCTAGCAAACAAATATGAGAGGGGACCCAAGAAAACACTAGAATTTATTTAAAATTGTGTATTTGTGTATTTATTCTTACATGTGTAAACTTCAATCACCTTCAAAGTACTCTTCATTTGATGCAATACACCTACCAAGATGCTTTTTCCACTGCTCAAAATAGTTGTTGAACTCATCAATTTTGATGCCTTTTAGTCCTTCTGCCATATTTTGTTTCACTTCTTCCACATGGTGGAAGTACTCCCAGGAGGGCAAAACATTTCCCTCTGAGGACCTTTCTCATCCGGGAAAACAAAACAAAAAGTTGCTCAGGACAAGATCAGGTGAATAGGGAGGGTAGGGCATGGGGATCACGTTGCTTTGGGTCAAAAACTGCTGAACTCTGGCGAGACCTCATCTCTACAATAAATAAAAAATATCAGCCGGGCGTGGTAACACGCGCCTGTAGTTCCAGCTACTTGGAAGGCTGAGGTGGAAGGATCGCCGGAGCCCAGCAGGTGGAGGCTGCGGTGGCCGGGAGCAGCCACTGCACTCCAGTCTGGGCGACAGAGTGAGACTCCAACTCAAAAAAAAAAAAACCTGCTAAACTCTCAACATAGTGTGGGCAGGTTGTGCTTATAAATTACCCAACATGAAGTGGGCAAATGCGTTGACAGAATCTCCAAAAAAAATTCACTGAAGCCTAATGCAGCCTCTCCCAACAATGCTAGTTGGTACACTGATGGGTTCCTAGAACAATTACCCAGCAGGGGAAACCTGTACTACAAGGGGCCCACCCTCCAAAAAATAATTCTCGTTTTTTGGGGGTCCACCCTCGTACATTCCTTATCTTAAGGCCAAGTGTTAAAAGCATCCTTCTCACATCCAAATGTGTGAGAGACCTACAGACTGAATCTTTTGGCTGCATTTACATCCCCAGGGCAAGCAAGGGCTGCACTGAAGTGGGGACAAGGGACCTAGGTGAAAGGAATATTCCAGATAGAAATGCTTAGCCTCTGGTGAGTAAGCAAACGTGATGCTTTCAGAGGGCGTTCAACTGTCAGTGTAGATAGAAGCCAAAGCAATGCAAAACAACACTAAGATGCCTCAGAGGGGAACGAAATCACTTTAAACATTACTTCCATGGGCTGCCTTCACTGACCCAGCAGGCATGTCTCCCATGGTCCCCTGTACTTTTCTTTCAGAACTGCTATCACAGTTATAATTAAACATTAAGCACTAAATTCATGACTAAATTAATTTGCTAGACAGCACCATGACATGTTCACCATCCTGTTCACCACCATTTGGCTCATTATTTGTTGAATGAATGAATGAATGAGTGGATGGATGGATGGATGGACGGACACTTACTAGCAACCACTACAAAAGATGACACCAAAAGAAATTAATATAGTCGATGTGAATTAATGAATAAAAAAGTTAATGAACAAGTGAATCAATGACTGAGCACTGGCTGGGTGCTTGTGTTTCAAGTGTTTCTTAAATGCTATTTTTTTTTTTTTTGAGTTGGAGTCTCACTCTGTCGCCCAGACTGGAGTGCAGTGGCCGCTCCTGGCCACAGCAGCCTTGACCTGCTGGGCTCTGGCGATCCTTTTGCCTCAGCCTTCCAAGTAGCCAGAATTACAGGCATGCGCTACCACACCCGGCTGATTTTTTGATTTATTGTAAAGATGAGGTCTTGCTGCTCAGGCGTGCCTCGAACCTGCGGGCTCAGGCAATCTACTCACCTCAGCCTCCCAAAGGCGTGGGATTACAGGCTGAGCCACCAAGCCGGCTGCTTGTTTTTTGGTTTTTTTTTTTTGAGTCAGAGTCTCACTGTTGCCCAGGCTGGAATGCAGTGGCACCATCATGGCTCACTACAGCTTCAACCTCCCAAGCTCAGATGATCTTTCTGCTTCAGTCTCCCAAGTAGCTGGGACTACAGCTACACACCACCATGCCCAGCTAATTTTTTTATTTTTTGTAGAGATTAGGTCTCACTATGTTGCCTAGGCTAGTCTCAAACTCCTGGGCTCAAGCAATCCTCCCGCCTTGGCCTCCCAAAGTTCTGGGATTACAGATGTGAGTCACTGTGTCTGGCCTCTTAAATGTTTTCTAAATTCAGTTCCAATTAGATTCCGTGACAGTAATTACTGAAGAGGACCTCTCCCCTGAGTAATTTGGTGACAGAGCCTTTCTGGTGGTCCCTTCAGTTTTAAGAACTATCACACACCTTGTGAATAGTTTGGCAAAGCTACAAAGAAAAAAAAATTACACACACATTCATTATATACACATACACACACATATCCACATATCGCCACGGGTTTCATGTTTGGTTTGACATGGACTGATGATCCTGTATCCCCCCATCCTTCCAGGCCAATTCCAAAGACTCATGTACTTGATATATGCAGTAAAGTTCAGAGATGAGACCTCTGGATGTATTTCAACTTAGGAGACATGGGAATATTTTTAGTTCAAAGTCAGGAACAAAAGCAAGTTCCACAATTTAGAGACTTTACACTTCTTCAGGATTACATTTTTATTCAGGCTAGACCACCTTTTTATTTTTATTTTTTTGAGTCAGAGTCTCACTCTGTCGCTCAGGCTGGAGTGCAGTGGCACACCCACAGCCACCATCGCAGCCTCAACCTACTGTGATCACACAATCCTTCTGCCTCAGCCTTCCAAGGAGAGCATGCCACTGTGCCTGGCTAATTGTTTTATTTATTGTAGAGACGAGGTCTCGCCAAGTTGTCCAGGCTGGTCTTGAACCCCTGGGCTCAGGCAATCCTCTTGTGTCAGCCTCCCAGAGTGCTGGGATTACAGGCATGAGACACCATGTCTGGCTGTGGACCACTTTTCTTAGCATCGTTTCTAAACCTTTGCCGGGTCTGGAAGGTCTGGGAGGAGAGAATTCTAAGAACCAGTCATTCATATGCACATTTCTTGAAGATAAAATAAATCATTCTCTCTTCTTAGAGAGATAAATCAGTTATCTCTTCTAGGTTATTGTGGGCTAGTTTCAGTATTACAACAGTCTTTATTGAAAAACTTCAAGTATCTCATCTTGAAAAATCAGCAATCCAGGTATGAAAAATAACAGGGAATGTCCAATTTTATTTCGATATTTACACTGTAGTCAGCTTCTGCTCCTGGTGAAAGCCTTGGATTTTCCTTCTGGGGAAATTGTTCCTTTTTTGTCCTCTTTCCTTATTTGTTTGGTGTCTGGTTACCAAAACAATCATCAGGCCTTTGGATTATCTTCTTGAATTGATCGTCTAAGTCGCAGGTCTGCGTTTTACACAGGAAAGAGAAGTTAATGCAGACACATCTTGTCCTATCTCTACAAGGGAAAGACCAAACTAGCCTTCAAAATCCCACTGTTTCTTAATATATATATTTATTTATTTATTAATTTTAAGAGATGGGGGGGTCTTGATATGCTGCCCAGGCTGGTCTCAAATTCCTGGTCTCAAGTGATCTTCCTGCCTCAGCCTCCCAAGTAGCTAGGATTACAGGCATGAGCCACAGCACCTGGCTAGAATCCCACAGCTTTTCATGCCTTCTTCTCCTGCTCCTTTTTATTTTATTTTCTGAGTTGAAGTCTCACTCTGTCATCCAGACTGGAGTGCAGTGGCGGCTCCCGGCCACTGCAGCCTCGACCTGCTGGGCTCCAGCGATCCTTCCGTCTTAGCCTTCCGAGTAGCTGGAATTACAGGCACGTGCTACCATGCCTGGCTGATTTTTTTATTTATTGTAGAGATGAGGTCTCACCAAGTTGCCCAGGCAGGTCTCGAACCCGCAGACTCAGGCAATCCATCTCCTTTTTAAAAGTTGCTATAATCTTCCTACTTGAACTCCATTAGTGGCTGTCATCAGTAAACACTCTCCCCCCAAAATAAATGAGTTCATTTTTTTTTGGTTCCTGCCCAGCATTCACCTACCTTCTGGCATCAGCTCCAGATTTTCTTTGGGAAGCCATCCTTCCCTACTTTCAGTCCCTGAGGTCTTTATGGTCACCACCTGTATCTACAGGTCTCAGAGGTGACCAAGGGAATCGCTACATTTTCACAGCCATGGCAATTGGTTCATGGACGGGTCTAGATCTCATGAAACACCATGAGAATTCTGGGTCCCTCCTACCCTTCCCTACTAGATTGAATCTGAGAAGATATAAGAAGTGGACAAAACTGTCTTGCAATTTTAGGAAGAGACTGTGACAGGAACTAACATGAACGAGAACTAGACAGAAAGGGACTAGGTTGTAGTGACACTGTGAGCTCCTGTCCTAGGCCAGGCCTACAGCAAGAATTATTCTCGAATTGGTCAGACTCGGTGGCTCAGCCTGTAATCCCAGCACTTTGGGAGGCCAGGGCAAGTGAATTGTCTGAGCCCATGGGTTCAAGACCAGCCTGGGCAACTGGCCGAGACCTTGTCTCTACAATAAATCAAAAATTAGCTAGGCATGGTAGTGCCTGTAGTTCCAGCTACTCGGAGGGTGGAGACAGAAGGATTGCCAGAGCCCACCAGGTCGACACTGCGGTGGCCATGAGCATGCCACTGCACTCCAGCCTGGGTGATGGAGTAAGACTCCAACTCAAAAAAAAAAAAAAAAAAAGAATTATTCTTGAATTTTTGTTTAAGCCTGTTGGGGTTGAGTTTGCAGTTGAAAGAACAACGGAGCAACTCTGACCCTTTATCTTGGGATTTGTCACTGGGCAAATTAGTGTCCTGTGCCCACTCCATTACTCACCAGGAACAGCATCATGGTCCCCCAAAGGCAAAGCCCCTCGTTGCTGAAAAAGAAAAAAGGGGGCAGCCCCGTCACTAAGAAAGAACGTAGACTCTGGGTCTTGTTGCACAGTTGGTACATTTTGTGAGGGCCCACCATTTTATTTCTTTTTTCTTTTCTTTCCTTTTCTTGGTGTCTGTAACCAAATTTATCCCTGAGCCCAGGACACAGGAACAGGGTCCGCGAGTCACAGTGTCTTTGCAGTCACCTTCTTTCTAGTCCAGTGCCTTTCACTGGTGGGGCATGAAGGGTCAGGAAGCGGCCAGAGGGGCAGCTCCCAGAATGGCACTGAGCATGGTGAGGACACACCAGACAACAAAGGCCCTAGGTCCCGGCTTCTGTGTGCACAATTCCCCACGCACGCGAAGTTCAAACCTGCAAGCCTCCAATCCTTAGTCAGCTTTGTTATGCGTCCAATAGGACTATAACACGGCGTCGACCCCACCCTGCTCCCATGCCGCTCCTCCAATAAGAACCTAGCACAGCCCCTTCCGGCCCCTGTCAGGCTAGTAAATACAGCCCTCTCCCTGCATATCTCTCTTTCGCTCTCTCTTTCCCTCTCTCTCTGTCGCTCTCTCCCTCTCTGCAGCTCTCTCCCCGCCTTTCTCCCATTTCCCCTCTCTCTCTCTCTCCACAGACCCTTTCCCCTTTTCCCTTGTAACTGCCACTTTAATAAATCTCTTGGCCTTAAACGGGTGAGGAGTCGTTACTGGCGCCGAACTTCTTTCATTGGTGCCGTGACTCAGATCGGGTGCTCTCCCACCCTTGTGCGGGTCTATCCCCGTAGGCGGGATCCCTGACCCAGCGCTGGTGGCCACTCCAGCCCTCCCAGACCTTCCCCACCGTTTTGAACACGTGACCTGCATCCACCAGCGACCATTGGATAGGTGAGTTCCCCAGACATGGAAGCCTGAAACTTGCCCGGGATCCCTGGGGGGAACTGACTGTTGATCATCCGGCAGCCCCTCTGGCCCCAAGGTGAGGGGGAGCGCACCCCGCCTTGGCCTTCACGGCCACAGTGGACCCTGAAGGCTTCCTCTTCTCTTTCATCTCTTAAACCTTAAAACTCCCGCAGCCGCTGGGCTACAGCGGGCCCCAAGGGTCCCACGTCTGCTAACCCACAGCGGCTTCCGTAAAACTCTCTCTCTTTCTCTCCCCCCTCCCTAAGGAATCCCACAGCTGTTGGACCACAGCGGACCCCGGGGGTCCCACGTCTGCTGGCCCACAGCGGATTCTGAAGGACTCATGTGTCTGTCGGGTAACAGGGACCCTCGGAGGCTCCATGTTTGTTGCCCCACAGTAAGCCCTATTCGACTGGCAGGAATCTCGAACACGCTCCCACCTGCCACCCGGTCAAGTGCTTTCTGTCTGGTTCAAAAATCCTTGCGCTAAGTGCCTTGACCCCCTCGGTTCTCCAGGAGAACCCTGGTTGTGCCAAACCCCTGTGATGACAGGCTTTGCCACAGCCACACTTCTCAGACAGCCAACTCTTTGGGGGATGCCCTGTTTAGTCTACCTGTCTCACCATGGGAGGTTCATCATCCCTGCCGGCCAATTCCCCTCTTAAATGCCTCTTAAACAATCTCACTATCTTTTCTCTTTCCCCTGATATCAAACCCAAATGCCTAATTCGTTTCTGCATGCAAGACTAGCCAACCAAAATCAGTGGCCTATATAATTTCTGTGAGCATTCAAAACGGTGGGTAGAGATTCCCTGTGTTCAGTCTTTTTCTCTCCTCCATAAACATCCTCGCCTGTGTCTCAATTGTAACCCCTCTAACTTCCACTCTCAACTCATGCTAGCATCTACTGCTTCTCCTACAACTTCTCTATCTCCCATTATTCCACACACATGTGAGCCTCCTCCTCTAAGTTCCCCTCCCTCCACTGCAAACACTGTAAGTCCCCTCCCTTCTTCTTTTCCGTCTCAGATTTCAATCCTGCAGAGGAGCCCCCTCCTTCCTCTTCAGCTCCACCCACTTCTCCAGCAATTCAACCTCTGTGCCCTCCCATTTTCAATCACTCCCCAGTATAGCCCTCCCATAACCCAATCCAAGGCCGCACTGGTCATCCTCGCTCCCCTCCGCAAAGTAGTGGGCACAAAGGATATTGTTCAGGTGCACATCCCCTTCTCTATCTCAGACCTCTCACAAATAAAAAAAATAAAAATAAAGTCTTAGATCATACACAACTGATCCTGCCACCTCCCTCTATTTCTAACTTCAACCCAGCAGATAAACCTCCTACAGTCTGCTTTTGCTATTCCACTCACCATCAGTTTCTCCTCCTTCTCACCCTCCACCTTTATCTGAGAAGGAAGGGCTGGTGTCTCCAGCTGGATCACCTGACCCCAGTCTCCAGCCTTCTCTTTTGTCTTTGGAGGAAGGGCCAGTGCCAAAGGCCATGGTGCCTAATTCCAAACTCCAGCCTTTTCGCCCCCTCCCCTCACTGCTTGATAACCCCCTGATAGCAGCCCTACCAGCTGCAACAAGTCTTTGTTGTTTCCTTATAATAAATTTTTCTCAAGTTATACCTAAACCGGGACTATATCAACCTTCTTCCCAGACAAAACTAAAGAGAGCATGTAAATAAATCCTATTAGCTAACTACAAAAAGGTGTTAATAAACAGGCTAACTAGGACAGAATAAAAGAGGTTTTTCAAAGACCAGATAAAAATCCAACAATGTTTCTAAGTCGCCTCTCTAAAACATTGCAGCAGTTTACTAATATTGGTTTAAACTCTGTAGAGGAACAAACTCTTTTGGCTATGTATTTTATCTCCCAGTCAGCACCGGGTATTAGGCACAAACTCCAAAAATTAGAAAAGGGCCCACAAACCCCTCAATTAGAGCTATTGGACACGGCCTTTAAAATCTTTAACAACCAAAAGGAGAAAGAAATACAGGACCACCAACATAAGCGGAAAGCACTTCAGCTTTTATCTACCACTTTAACAAAAAAGTCACCACTGATAATCTTCCACCCCAGATGGTCAATAGCAGAAGGGGTACACAGCTCCCTTCCCAGGTTTGTTTCTGATGCCGTCAAAATGGGCATATGGCCAAAGACTGTCAAGCCCTGCCCACCAGTAAAACCCTGTCCCAATGCAAACAGCATGGGCATTGGGCTCATGATTGCCTCATTCGCCCAGAAGGAAGAGAGCACATGGCCCAGAGGCTTGCTGCAATTAAGGGACACCAGGCATCTTACACGATCTCAAAAGGGGATCTCTTGGGCTTGCTCCAGTCAGATTGACTCGGCCCTAACTTGGTAGCCCCAATGTCTTCAGAACAAACCATTAAACCAACCGAGCCTAGGGTGGAAATATCAGTAGCTGGTGGGGTTATATCATCTGTTATTAATACGGGGGCTACATGTCAGATCTACTTACATTTCCTGGTCCACTCCTTCCTTCACCCCTTTTGGTTGTGGGGGCACAGGGCATTATATCCAGGCCCCTCACTATGCCATTACTTCCATGTGTTCTGGGAGATAAAGTATTTCAACACTCTTTCCTTGTTAGGCCAACATGTCCAGCTCCATTATTGGGAAGGAAAACTCACACCACTGTACTTTTTGGGTGCCTTTTGTATAGCTTTGAATTTCCCTAATAGTTCCACATTGGATCCTATCTAAGCCCTTCCACTACATATAAACTTATTGCTTTGGCTAGAGCTCTGAGGTTAGGAAAAATGTAAAGAAAGTTGTAGGTGTAAGGTGTGTTTTTAGTAAGAAAGGATAAAGAAAAGATAAATAATTGTATAGGAAAGAATCTTGTATGGTACATTTAGTTCTATAATAGAATGGCTGGTTAAAGAAAGCATAGAACAAAAATCGAAGGTTTAAGCATGTCAAAGAATGGTATGAGTTTATGGAACAAGCATGTCAAAGAATGGTATGAGTTTATCGAACATGTTAGGTGAAAGTTAGTGGAAAAAAGTAAAAGAAATTGTGTAAACACTTGAGGCTATGAAAAAGATTCCATAAATTTACCATTAATATCAGTTACACTAATGCTAGGCCAACATGCTACTCGAAGGCCAGAACATGAGCTTCTTAATTAACAATCTCCAAAAAATTTTCTTCTTTAAATAACAGAGGGGAGAAAAAAGAGACAAAATTCAATTAGCCCTTCCCCCACTGTCTTTGTTGCAAAAGAGCGAGGTTTTTTCCTTTTCAAAATCGTTGCACTATGATTTTGGCTAAATAAGTAACTTTTACAATAACTACTGTGATTTTGTGTTATAACATGCTTTTAAAAACTTTAGTCAATATTACAAACCTCCATAAAACAGACAGCCAAAGTCACCCCATTTTCCTGGCTCTCAATAGTCCAACAGGGAGGCACTTGCCTCTTTCTAATTTGCGTTTTTGTTTAATAGCCCCATATATCTTTAAATTTCTCCAACAATGCTTAACTAAACTCTCAAATCAAAACCTCAACCTCCTATTACTCAATAGTTATCAACCTGTCCCAATAGAGGAGTCAACACCTTGCCCCTAAACATCACTTAATTTTTCTTTTAGATATGCTCTCTTCCAGGTTCTCTATTTACCTCCACAGTCTACTCCAAGACAGCTGGTTACTACCGCCCTCGGACCCACTGGAAGACTGGCTGGAACAAGTTGCTGTTCTACACTTAAAAGGAACCTTCATGGAACTCTCACCTGTGGAAAGCTACACCTTCAGTGCCTACTTTTGGGCCCTGCTCTGGCTGGTTCTGCACCCTTCTACCACCTTACCCCCACAATGCCCCCGACCAGCAGGAAGTAACCAGAAAGAGTAATGACGCCCCTCCCCATAAGAACAGAAAAAGTGGGAATGAAGGGTGCCAGAAGCGACAGGAGGGGTGGCTCCCAGAATGGCATGGTGAGGACACACCAGACAACAAAGGCCCTAGGTCCCGGCTTCTGTGTGCACAATTCCCCACGCGCGCGAGGTTCAAACCTGCAAGCCTCCAATCCTTAGCCAACTTTGATATGTGTCGGCCCCACCCTGCTCCCATGCTGCTCCTCCAATAAGAACCTAGCACAGCCCCTTCTGGCCCCTGTCAGGCTAGTAAATACAGCCCTCTCCCTGCATATCTCTCTCTCGGTCTCTCTCTCTCTCTCTGTCGCTCTCTCCCTCTCTGCAGCTCTCTCCCTGCCTCTCTCCCACTTCCTCACTCTCTCTCTCTCTCCACAGACCTTTTCCCTTGTAACTGCCGCTTTAATAAATCTCTTGGCCTTAAATGAGTGAGGAGTCGTTACTGGCACCGAACTTCTTTCACACAGTGGTAAAGTTCGGGGGGGTAAAGAGATGATCCCAGCTGGTCCAGTAAGGGA